TGTATTAAATCTTCCTTCCACCCCACCCCCACTACTTGGGCAATTTTCCTAGTTCATGTGGTTTCTCCAGTAGTGCGAAAGTTGTATTGTAAAGCTTTCGGTAAAGTTAATACATATTGTGGGGCCGTAATTGGTAAATGTAGAAATCTGCGTGTCTGGGATCACATTGTTTTCCCAGACAGTCAATTTTGTAAGTGTTGGCATGTCGCTAATTTACGGGCTACTAGTGGACATGCCACGTCTTGTGGGGTTATGTTAATGTCATGGTATCGGTAGTCACTAGAATGCGTGGTGATATTGTTTGGAATGGCAACTTAAAAGCTATTAGGACGAATGTATCAAATAAATTAAGAATTTAAATTTATTGCAAAAGGTTTAGTACTAAAGTTTGTACCCTGGTGTTGCCCTATATATCAGATTACAAAGACACGAGGGTATACAATGTTGTACAGAGAAATTATAATTTGTTGAACAAAAATAACCTTAAGACCTTTTCATAAATTTATTTGATACTTTATAAAACATTGTAATGGTATAAGTAACTTAGTTTTTTTTCTAGGGTCTGGCGTGACATTGGCCAACAGTCTTCTTGAGAAATAACTTTGTGAACGGAGGACTAGTCAGGCGCACAAGGCACGGAACTAGTTCTGACGTGACGTAGTTGCAAGTCTCGATAAGAGGTGGTTGGACGGTGTTGAACACGGGGCGCCTGACAACGTTGCAGGAATATCTGAAAGAAAAGGCAAGTTGTTAAAACTTTCAGTTAATATTTATAATTTAGCAGGAAACTGTTGGAAAGGATATTCTGCAGAATTATAGAAAGAGCATCTGTGGGACATTAGAAACGGTTAGTATTAACTAGTTTACTTGTCCTAGTTATGAGACTTTGGTTTAGGAGGCAGTAAAAATGCCAGTTAAAATAGAAATTAATGGAATAGGCTACCATAATTAGTAGGGAAATATCGATAGATGCGCTTTGAAGCAGCATGATGCAAAGATAGTGTAAAGGATGAATGGTAGTGTTCATGACGTTGTAATTGGGAGGACCTAATAGTGATCGGTGAAAATAGTTTAGGGCATTATGAATAGTTAGCAGGGGGGTGGGGGTGACGAACTGTGGAAGGTGTTGCTTCTACACACTAGAATTTGCCACTAGAAATATTGAACGTAGAGTTTGCAAGAATACTGCAGTTTCTTACTGGTTAGTGTAAATGTTAGGAAGAATGAAGGAATGTACATATTCTTCAGTTGACTATAACGGTAAGTGTTTAGCAGTTTTAATGTCAAATGGTATAAATTGGTATTCGATGAAGTATGGTTGACGGGCCATTTTGTTAGTGAAAACGTGTAAAAGTAATATAAAGGGAGAAACGGGACTACTAACGATAACTTTTACAACATCGTAGATTTGTGGTAGAATGGTGGTTAGAGAATAGTTTGTAGTAGGAAATAGTTTGGTGTGTAGTTACTCTAGCTAGTGTGTTGGAAGGACAAGTAGAGAAACGTGAATATTGAAATTGATAAACATTTTAACTTTACAGACGCAGCACAGAAAATGGATGAAGACGGGTGGCTGTAGCAGTAAGAAGGCCGGTGAAGCGGACTGCAAAATTGGGAAGCAAGATGCAAAATAAAGGAAAGTTGTAAATCTGTGTATTGTGTACTTTGAAACTGTTCTTAGAACTATAGAACCTGTTCCCTCTGTTATGTTTAATATCTGGTGTATGGTGTTATGACTATTGTTCGGCTGGTTTTCTGTAGGTATCAATGTGGTTCCGATAAATGTTGTTCGTATTGGAATAAATCTCTTAATTATAGACGTTAATGTTTACAGCGGTTTGTGTATTCTTTAACGGCTGGCTATGCACAGTTTGTCTAAAATGCCATGTTTATTGTTGTAACATTGTCTAGGCCCAGTGTCTGTGACAGTGGCTAGAATTTGAAGGTTTGTTAATAAAGTTCTTATTGAATATGAAGTGTATGAACTACATGTCCCAAATGGCTTTAGTCCTCTTGATGTAAGTTTGACACAGTAACACTTCGTGGTTAATGTTGTTAGAAGGGTTGTTCCTGAGGGTTTTAAGTTGTTGACTGATCACCTTGTTCCTTAAGAGCATTTTGGCCCGGTTTGGTGCCTTCTTTTGATAATTACATTACCTTAAGAGCATTTTGGTGAAACAGGCTGTACTGAATGAAGGCAATTGGTTTATAGGGAATATTTGTAAATTGTAATCCTCATCTAGGTGGTGTTAAATACTTATTATCAATAGATCCAACCTTGTGGAATATGATAAATATGAACATGAACCTTAGTGTTTTAACGATGCGTTTTTCTAACGCAGTTACATTTTTCTTAGGTCAGTTGTATATAAGTTTTCTAACCATATTTATTGCTGTTTCCTTGGTTAAAAATTCATCGTATTCGTCTGTTTCTTTGTTGTTGGTGCTTTTAATGTTGGTCTCTCTTTACTAGTGTCCCTTGGTGTGTGGTATAGTAGGGGTTTGATAATGGTAGTGGCATCGGTGAAATGTTTAATTTACTACGTATGTGCATCTTGAAAAGAATAAAACAAAATTGGGGGAAGTGTACAGGACAAATGTGTAGAACGTTGAAGGGGTTGAACGGATGGCACATTGTCGTGAAGTCAGCCTGAGTGTGTCCTCAATGTAAATAAAGGTTTTCATAGCAGCAAGTGAAGAGTAATACGAAGACCTTTCACTCCATGCGACAAAGATAACGCGCAATTTACAAAAATTTTGCGTCGCAACACAATTTGCACGATTTTTGGCCGCTAGCGGCGAAAATCGCCCCATTTTTGGCCGCTAGCGGCGAAAATAGCCCCTTTTTTGGCCGCTAGCGGCGAAAATCGGTCGATTTTTGGCAGGTAGCGGCGAAATTCGCGCGATTTTTGCCCGCCAGCTGCAAAAATCGCATGGTTTCTGGCCGCTAGCATCGAAAATAGTCCGGTTTTCGGCCGGTATCCGCAAAAACCGCCCTATTTTTGGTCGCTAGCGGCGAAAATCGCACGGTTTTTGGCCGCTAGCGGCGAAAATCTCGCAATTTTTTGCCGGTAGCGGCGAAAATCGCGATTTTTGCCCGCCAGCTGCGAAAATCGCATGGTTTTTGGCCGGTAGCGGCGAAAATCGCGCTATTTTTGCCAGCCAGCTGCAAAAATCGCATAGTTTCTGGCCGCTAGCGGCGAAAATCGCGCGATTTTTGGCCGCTAGCGGCGAAAATCGCGCGATTTTTGGCCGCTAGCAGCGAAATTCGCACGATTTTTGGCCGCTAGCGGCGAAATTTGCACGATATTTGGACGCTAGCGGCGAAAATCGCCCCATTCTTGGCCGCTAGCGGCGAAAATCGCCCCATTCTTGGCCGCTAGCGGCGAAAATAGCCCCTTTTTTGGCCGCTAGCGGCGAAAATCGGTCGATTTTTGGCAGGTAGCGGCGAAATTCGCGCGATTTTTGCCCGCCAGCTGCAAAAATCGCATGGTTTCTGGCCGCTAGCGTTGAAAATAGCGCGGTTTTCGGCCGTTAGCCGCAAAAATCGCCCGATTTTTGGCCGCTACCGGCGAAAATCGCACGGTTTTTGGCCGCAAGCGGCGAAAATTGCTCTATTTTTGGCCGGTAGCGGCGAAAATCGCGAGTTTTGCCCGCCAGCTGCGAAAATCGCATGGTTTTTGGCCGCTAGAGGCGAAAATCGCGCGGTTTTTCCTGCCAGCTGCAAAAATGGCAAAAAAGTAACAAAAGTAGCGAATTTTTGGGCAAAAAGTAGCGAAAGTAGCCCAATTTTGGGCTATAAAGTAGCGAAAGTAGCTCAATTTGGGGCTAAAAAGTAGCGAAAATTTGGGCTAATAAGTAGCGAAATTTTGGGCTAAAAGTTGCGAAAGTAGCCCAATTTTGGGCTAAAAAGTAGCAAAAGTAGCGAAATTTTGGGCTAAAAAGTACCGAAAGTAGCCCAATTTTGGGCTAAAAAGTAGCGAAATTTTGAGAAAAGCGAAAGTAGCCCAATTTTGGTTATGATGAACAAATCCACAAGGGCCGTGACGAGGATTCGAACCTATGTCCGAGAGCATCCCAGACGCTGCCTTAATCAACTGAGCTACGACATGGTAAAAAAAAAAAAGAAAAAAAAAAAAGAGTTGAAACCAGACATTCTACTGAACTTACTTGGATCCTGCAGCCTCTCCGAGACACAAACCAGGGTTTTACACAACTCCCCCCATGCACTCGAGCGATGTCAATCTCGAGCATGGGGGAGTTGTGTGGTGCAACACAGCCCATTATGTTCAGTAAATTGGTTGTAGACCCAGGAAGTGGTGCATTTGTTAATTTAGGGGTGACGACGATTGTGGGGCTAGGAAGGGGTAGAGCTTGAGGGCAAGGTGCCTTTAGGGGTGGAGCCTAGACTTCACCTTCAAGGATGCAAGAGCCAAAGATTTTAGAGTGTCAACTGGGAGTGTAAAGAGGGGGTGAGTGATCTAACACAAAGCGACATCGGCTGAGGAGAGCAGTGGAAAGGTAATGTCCGCGAGATTCTTCTTGTTGATAGTAGGTGCAGTGTGCATGAAGGGTTTGTCCTCCCGATGACTGCACCAGTACTGATGTTGTTGGACGCGTTTATGTTGAAGATGATCGGAGCTACCAAGGTGCTTGTTGCTTTGTGCTGTAGATAGAGGAACGGTGATTAAAACAGAGGTGTGTGTTAGAGGGAGACTTGCCGCACCGTAGGGCGGTGTGTTGTGTTTATGGCGTCAGCTGATCCTTAAACACAACACACCGCCCTACGGTGCGGCAAGTCTCATTCACAGCACAACGGGTAGTCCATCAGTAATTATAAGGTGTTTTCCAGATTCCTTTATAAATTGTTAGCAAATGTTACTGTATTCAAAGTATATTAGCCTTGATTAGGACTGACGAAGAGCACTTAAGACTTTAATTAGTTTCTAAACCAAATTTCAGCATATCATTTTATAAGAATTAAAACGGCAAGTCTCTCTAAATTGTTAAAGAATATTCTTATCTAAGGAAATCTTAACACACAGTGCCAATCAAAAATACTGGCATCTTTTCTTGTGTTTCTATTAAAAATAATCAGTCTGACATTGCTAATATAGTATTAAAATGGCGAAAATTACTATAGGCTGTATGTAGACCACGGGACGAGTTCCTGAATCCATTATTTATGAATCTTGAAAGCTTTTATCCCCTGTTTTGATTTATAATATACTGATTAAAGTAAATCAGTATATTGCTTATTACTTATTATATTAAATTATAATATTACTGATTAAAAGTAACTAACGGAATGTAAAACATTGGAGCGCAAACTAGCACAGCACGAGAAATTGAAATTGAAATAAGTTTATTCGGGTAAAATACACAAAGGGATGAGGTAGCTCAAGCTATTCTCACCCCGTTCAGTACATCGTGTTAATACATACATAGACACACATCACAAGCAATAAACGTATTACCGAACATTCTGAGAGATAAACATATACATTAACTAGCACAGCACGAGGATATGGTCGTTAAGCACTGTGACGTCACCAATAACGCTGTGTTGGGCAAGAAGGTCAGGAGCGGCCGGCGCCGCCTCAGTGTCGGGCTGACAGCCAGCAGACGTAGTTCCTTGGGAGGTGTCCCGCTTCTTACATCATTTGCAGCTACACCGGTCATCAGGTAAGGTTACCGTGGACTTTATTGCTCAATGTATTAACTCATATAAGGTGTCGATATTTAATTATGGTGTGACCTGGTTGTTGGCGTAGCGTAATGTGGGCTCTGTTATCTGTGATGCCTTCAGAGGGATGGTGATATTTGGGTGGCGTATGGTAGAATTGGTAAAGTTATTTACATGGAAACATAGTTGACGTATCCTAACAATAGTATTAATAATTAGCCTTGTTCTAGATTTAGCCGTACAGCATTAAGTGGCTGGTCCACAATTGTTTAAATCTGCATTAGAGCGGGCAAAGAGTCTAAATATCTGGGCAGTACGTAAGGTATTTAAGTATGTTGGCCTGTTTAAAATGCAATAGAGTAATGAGTAAAGGATGAGGGTGTAAAGGATAAAAATTACTGCAGAATTTTGGGATTTGTAGCTCAAAGTTTTAGAGCCAGCTGTCATATTATTTAAATGGCTTGTAGGTACTGTAAGGCACTAAATGTACAGCTTATTCCTGTGGCGTTGGTAGTAGTTAGTGGCAGTTTATGGGTATCTACTGTGGCTTAATGGTCTGAGGGTGTTTTCACAGCCCCCCCCCCCAAGGCTCGCAGAACTAGGCTGCTTCGATGAATCTTGATGCTTTTAAAACTTAATGGTATTAAACCCACTTTTTTTTTATTTAACAGGTGGGTGTGGATTTCTGTAATGTAATTCGCGGAACCAATTTCATCTGAATTACTTTGGTTAAGACCGGGTATTTGGTAAGTTATGCAGGTTTGAATTTCTTCAGTCTTGATATCTGTAGTGTCCATTGCAGCGGGTAAACAAATTTTCAGGTACAGTAGTTCTAATAGTTTGTGGTTAGGTAGAAATTGAAAATTATACTTTGGTATTGTATTAAATCTCGGCCCTTCCCACCCCCACTACTTGGGCAATTTTCCTAGTTCATGTGGTTTCTCCAGTAGTGCGAAAGTTGTATTGTAAAGCTTTCGGTAAAGTTAATACATATTGTGGGGCCGTAATTGGTAAATGTAGAAATCTGCGTGTCTGGGATCACATTGTTTTCCCAGACAGTCAATTTTGTAAGTGTTTGGCATGTCGCTAATTTACGGGCTACTAGTGGACATGCCACGTCTTGTGGGGTCGTAATGTTAATGTCATGGTATCGGTAGTCACTAGAATGCGTGGTGATATTGTTTGGAATGGCAACTTAAAAGCTATTAGGACGAATGTATCAAACAAATTAAGAATTTAAATTTATTGCAAAAGGTTTAGTACTAAAGTTTGTACCCTGGTGTTGCCCTATATATCAGATTACAAAGACACGAGGGTATACAATGTTGTACAGAGAAATTATAATTTGTTGAACAAAAATAACCTTAAGACCTTTTCATAAATTTATTTGATACTTTATAAAACATTGTAATGGTATAAGTAACTTAGTTTTTTTTTTCTAGGGTCTGGCGTGACAATGGCCACGAGTCTTCTTGAGAAATAACTTTGTGAACGGAGGACTAGTCAGGCGCACAAGGCATGGAACTAGTTCTGACGTGACGTAGTTGCAAGTCTCGATAGAGGTGGTTGGACGGTGTTGAACACGGCGCCTGACAACGTTGCAGGAATATCTGAAAGAAAAGGCAAGTTATTATTTATAATTTAGCAGGAAACTGTTGGAAAGGATATTCTGCAGAATTATAGAAAGAGCATCTGTGGGACATTAGAAACGGTTAGTATTAACTAGTTTACTTGTCCTAGTTATGAGACTTTGGTTTAGGAGGCAGTAAAAATGCCAGTTAAAATAGAAATTAATGGAATAGGCTACCATAATTAGTAGGGAAATATCGATAGATGCGCTTTGAAGCAGCATGATTCAAAGATAGTGTAAAGGATGAATGGTAGTGTTCATGACGTTGTAATTGGGAGGACCTAATAGTGATCGGTGAAAATAGTTTAGGGCATTATGAATAGTTAGCAGGGGGGGGTGGGGGTGACGAACTGTGGAAGGTGTTGCTTCTACACCACTAGAAATATTGAACGTAGAGTTTGCAAGAATACTGAAGTTTGTTACTGGTTAGTGTAAATGTAGGAATGTACATATTCTTCAGTTGACTATAAGGGTAAGTGTTTAGCAGTTTTAATGTCAAATGGTATAAATTGGTATTCGATGAAGTATGGTTGACGGGCCATTTTGTTAGTGAAAACGTGTAAAAGTAATATAAAGGGAGGAAACGGGACTACTAACGATAACTTTTACAACATCGTAGATTTGTGGTAGAATGGTGGTTAGAGAATAGTTTGTAGTAGGAAATAGTTTGGTGTGTAGTTACTCTAGCTAGTGTGTTGGAAGGACAAGTAGAGAAACGTGAATATTGAAATTGATAAACATTTTAACTTTACAGACGCAGCACAGAAAATGGATGAAGACGGGTGGCTGTAGCAGTAAGAAGGCCGGTGAAGCGGACTGCAAAATTGGGAAGCAAGATGCAAAATAAAGGAAAGTTGTAAATCTGTGTATTGTGTACTTTGAAACTGTTCTTAGAACTATAGAACCTGTTCCCTCTGTTATGTTTAATATCTGGTGTATGGTGTTATGACTATTGTTCGGCTGGTTTTCTGTAGGTATCAATGTGGTTCCGATAAATGTTGTTCGTATTGGAATAAATCTCTTAATTATAGACGTTAATGTTTACAGCGGTTTGTGTATTCTTTAACGGCTGGCTATGCACAGTTTGTCTAAAATGCCATGTTTATTGTTGTAACATTGTCTAGGCCCAGTGTCTGTGACAGTGGCTAGAATTTGAAGGTTTGTTAATAAAGTTCTTATTGGATATGAAGTGTATGAACTACATGTCCCAAATGGCTTTAGTCCTCTTGATGTAAGTTTGACACAGTAACACTTCGTGGTTAATGTTGTTAGAAGGGTTGTTCCTGAGGGTTTTAAGTTGTTGACTGATCACCTTGTTCCTTAAGAGCATTTTGGCCCGGTTTGGTGCCTTCTTTTGATAATTACATTACCTTAAGAGCATTTTGGTGAAACAGGCTGTACTGAATGAAGGCAATTGGTTTATAGGGAATATTTGTAAATTGTAATCCTCATCTAGGTGGTGTTAAATACTTATTATCAATAGATCCAACCTTGTGGAATATGATAAATATGAACATGAACCTTAGTGTTTTAACGATGCGTTTTTCTAACGCAGTTACATTTTTCTTAGGTCAGTTGTATATAAGTTTTCTAACCATATTTATTGCTGTTTCCTTGGTTAAAAATTCATCGTATTCGTCTGTTTCTTTGTTGTTGGTGCTTTTAATGTTGGTCTCTCTTTACTAGTGTCCCTTGGTGTGTGGTATAGTAGGGGTTTGATAATGGTAGTGGCATCGGTGAAATGTTTAATTTACTACGTATGTGCATCTTGAAAAGAATAAAACAAAATTGGGGGAAGTGTACAGGACAAATGTGTAGAACGTTGAAGGGGTTGAACGGATGGCACATTGTCGTGAAGTCAGCCTGAGTGTGTCCTCAATGTAAATAAAGGTTTTCATAGCAGCAAGTGAAGAGTAATACGAAGACCTTTCACTCCATGCGACAAAGATAACGCGCAATTTACAAAAATTTTGCGTCGCAACACAATTTGCACGATTTTTGGCCGCTAGCGGCGAAAATCGCCCCATTTTTGGCCGCTAGCGGCGAAAATAGCCCCTTTTTTGGCCGCTAGCGGCGAAAATCGGTCGATTTTTGGCAGGTAGCGGCGAAATTCGCGCGATTTTTGCCCGCCAGCTGCAAAAATCGCATGGTTTCTGGCCGCTAGCATCGAAAATAGTCCGGTTTTCGGCCGGTATCCGCAAAAACCGCCCTATTTTTGGTCGCTAGCGGCGAAAATCGCACGGTTTTTGGCCGCTAGCGGCGAAAATCTCGCAATTTTTTGCCGGTAGCGGCGAAAATCGCGATTTTTGCCCGCCAGCTGCGAAAATCGCATGGTTTTTGGCCGCTAGAGGCGAAAATCGCGCGGTTTTTGGCCGGTAGCGGCGAAAATCGCGCTATTTTTGCCAGCTAGCGTGCAAAAATCGCGCGATTTTTGGCCGCTAGCGGCGAAAATCGCGCGTTTTTTGGCCGCTAGCAGCGAAATTCGCACGATTTTTGGCCGCTAGCGGCGAAATTTGCACGATATTTGGCCGCTAGCGGCGAAAATCGCCCCATTCTTGGCCGCTAGCGGCGAAAATCGCCCCATTCTTGGCCGCTAGCGGCGAAAATAGCCCCTTTTTTGGCCGCTAGCGGCGAAAATCGGTCGATTTTTGGCAGGTAGCGGCGAAATTCGCGCGATTTTTGCCCGCCAGCTGCAAAAATCGCATGGTTTCTGGCCGCTAGCGTTGAAAATAGCGCGGTTTTCGGCCGTTAGCCGCAAAAATCGCCCGATTTTTGGCCGCTACCGGCGAAAATCGCACGGTTTTTGGCCGCAAGCGGCGAAAATTGCGCTATTTTTGGCCGGTAGCGGCGAAAATCGCGAGTTTTGCCCGCCAGCTGCGAAAATCGCATGGTTTTTGGCCGCTAGAGGCGAAAATCGCGCGGTTTTTGGCCGCTAGCGGCGAAAATCGCGCTATTTTTCCTGCCAGCTGCGAAAATGGCAAAAAAGTAGCAAAAGTAGCGAATTTTTGGGCAAAAAGTAGCGAAAGTAGCTCAATTTGGGGCTAAAAAGTAGCGAAAATTTGGGCTAATAAGTAGCGAAATTTTGGGCTAAAAGTTGCGAAAGTAGCCCAATTTTGGGCTAAAAAGTAGCAAAAGTAGCGAAATTTTGGGCTAAAAAGTACCGAAAGTAGCCCAATTTTGGGCTAAAAAGTAGCGAAATTTTGAGAAAAGCGAAAGTAGCCCAATTTTGGGCTAAAAAGTAGCGAAAGTAGCGAAATTTTGGGCTGAAAGTAGCGAAATTTTGGGCTAAAAAGTAGCGAAATTTTGAGAAAAGTAGCGAAAGTAGCCCAATTTTGGGCTAAAAAGTAGCAAAAGTAGCGAAATTTTGGGCAAAAAGTAGCGAAAGTAGCCCATTTTTGGGCTAAACTTGCGAAATTGGGCTACTTTCGCTACTTTTTCCGAAAATTTCGCTACTTTTGCTACTTTTTAGCCCAAAATTGGGCTACTTTCGCTACTTTTAGCCCAAAGTTTCGCTACTTTTTAGCCCAAAATTGGGCTACTTTTTGCCCAAAATTGGGCTACTTTCGCTACTTTTTGCCCAAAATTGGGCTACTTTCGCTACTTTTTGCCCAAAATTTCGCTACTTTTTAGCCCAAAATTTCGCTGTTTTCGCTACTTTTAGCCCAAAATTGGGCTACTTTTGCTACTTTTTAACCCAAAATTTCGCTACTTTTAGCCCAAAATTTCGCTACTTTTTAGCCCAAAATTTCGCTGTTTTCGCTACTTTTAGCCCAAAATTGGGCTACTTTCGCTACTTTTTGCCCAAAATTTCGCTACTTTTTCTACTATTTAGCGCAAAATTGGGCTACTTTCGCTACTTTTTGCCCAAAATTGGGCTACTTTTGCTACTTTTTAACCCAAAATTTCGCTACTTTTAGCCCAAAATTTCACTACTTTTTAGCCCAAAATTTCGCTACTTTTAGCCCAAAATTTCACTACTTTTTAGCCCAAAATTTCGCTACTTTCGCTACCGTTTAGCCCATAATTGGGCTACTTTCGCTACTCTTTCCCCCAAATTGGGCTACTTTCGCTACTTCTTAGCCCAAAATTGGGCTACTTTTTGCCCAAAATTGGGCTACTTTTTGCCCAAAATTGGGCTACTTTCGCTACTTTTCAGTCCAAAATTTCGCTACTTTCGCTACTTTTTAGCCCAAAATTGGGCTACTTTCGCTACTTTTTGCCCAAAATTTCGATACTTTTGCTACTTTTTAGCCCAAAATTGGGCTAAAAAGTAGCAAAAGTAGCGAAATTGGGCTAAAAAGTAGCAAAAGTAGCGAAATTTTGGGCAAAAAGTAGCGAAAGTAGCCCAATTTTGGGCTAAAAAGTAGCGAAAGTAGCGAAATTTTGGGCTAAAAAGTAGCAAAAGTAGCCCAATTTTGGGCAAAAAGTAGCGAAAGTAGCCCAATTTTGGGCAAAGTAGCGAAAGTAGCGAAATTTTGGGCTAAAAAGTAGCAAAAGTAGCCCAATTTTGGGCTAAAAAGTAGAGAAATTTTGGGCAAAAAGTAGCGAAAGTAGCCCAATTTTGGGCTAGAAAAGTAGCGAAATTTTGGGAAAAAGTAGCGAAAGTAGCCCAATTTTGGGCTAAAAAGTAGCAAAAGTAGCGAAATTTTGGGCAAAAAGTAGCGAAAGTAACCCAATTTTGGGCTAAAAAGTAGCGAAATTTTGGGCAAAAAGTAGCGAAAGTAGCCCAATTTTGGGCTAAAAAGTAGCGAAATTTTGGGCTAAAAAGTAGCGAAAGTAGCCCAATTTTGGGCTAAAAAGTAGCAAAAGTAGCGAAATTTTGGGCTAAAAAGTAGCGAAAGTAGCCCAATTTTGGGCAAAAAATTGCAAAAGGAGCGAAATTTTGAGAAAAAAGTAGCGAAAGTAGCCCAATTTTAGGCTAAAAAGTAGCGAAATTTTGGCTAAAAGTAGCGAAAGTAGCCCAATTTTGGGCTAAAAGTAGCGAAATTTAG